CGGGCGACGACCGAGCCGGTGTAATTTTCGAAGGCGTCAATACCATGAGTGGCAGGTGGCTGAATTTTACAAAGACTTGCCACGGTCTCCAACCCTCCTCCTTTCTCATCCGGGCTTGGGAGCGGCCATGGCGGAGTTGAAATAAATATTAAAAAATAAATTACTGATTATAAGTTAATTGAAAATAAATGTTTTATTAGTGGTTCTACGAATTTCTGGTTTTATTTTAGTATAAAATTGTAATTCATGTTTCTGAATCGTTGGACTCACTACCGCGTTACATTTACACAGTTGAGTGCATGTGCTATTCGTTAACAGAGAAGTGCACCAGGTTTAAGCTTCTAGTAGGACAGAGAGCAGAATCTGTTGTTTGTTATGAATTCATGCATGGGCTAGCCTGATCATTAAATATCTGATTACAAACTTAACGATCATGGTAACGGCTTATGAACTATATTGTTCAACAGTGCGCATCTAATAGTGAATGTTAAGAAATTCTGCCTTCTAATGTATGAGTAGTTTAACAGACTGCGTAAAGCTGTATGTTGCTGGAATTAGAACATGTGCTTGCAGATTTAGTGGAATTGATATAATGCAAATCGGGTAAACAGTAACAGTGAGTTGCTTGGATTGGTTGTTTACAGGCTTTATATTCGACCAGTGCCAACTATATGGACATTTTTTTCCTGAATGACGGCCAGCGTCTTTTGACCCAAACTTGGCACTAAAGTTTAAAATCGTCGCCTATCTGTTGTGTTTATGACCAGCCGTCAGTTCATGGAATGATCAGCAAATTTATGCCTTCAACTACGAGGGTATCCCATCATTCTTCGTAGGTGTCGTAGTCGTCATGAAGGAATACTAATCAGCAGTCTCTATTGTAAGAAATTCGCTGCAAAGAACACAGTGAATTTAGGGCTGAGAGATTGCTTTTAACAAATACTCATTCTTAGTCACCTTTAAAAACATTGGATCGTAAAACTTGGTTACAGTAATTTCATTGATGATGTGCGACTGTTGGTTTAACAGTGCGACGTGACGTAGAGCACTCTAGATGCTCGAATACTGTCCGTCTGTTATCGCTTGTTTAAATGCCTGACGCATCTATGAGCAAGTAACTGTTGCCATAAAGTGATAAAACTGTTATTTGAAGTTAGGCTCTCATGTACTTCTTATTCATTGATTTCTTCTATACTTTAATTTGTTGTAAAGCTGTGGGTGGCGCCGAACAAAGTTCTTGTTTGCTCTATGACCTCGCTAAATCAAATTAACACGAGTTTTGAAAACTCTGCTATAGTTTTTCGAGCCGAGTTAATAACGTTTATACTCGTTCTCCATGGCAGTATTGGTGTAAACTACCTGCCGTTTGTTGTAAATTGCAAATCATGGTTAAATATTGACTTTGGGGTAGGAAATGAGTTACTCCGGTATCATGGGCATGCATTTTTTTTCAAGCCACAACCCCTTAGTTTGTGAGTGGACGCTTGGACGCTTCTTGTTCGGCTCAATTCTGTTTCAGTTTTGCCTTCGTGCACCTCGGGTGCTGAAATGCCGAAGCTTGCTCCAATATTCCTCCGTGACCTTTACAGACAGAGTAGCAGTGCGACGTTGCCTTATATCCCTGCATGAGGACGTGTAGTGTTTGTATATCACCGTACTTCTACGGCTGGTTATAAAATATACTTTTTAAAATTTCTTGTTAGCTGTAGGAACACCCCTAAGTCCGTGGTCTCGGAATACTTATTCTACGTTTCTCAGCTTAGACGCGCGCAACCCATGTTTTTTCATGCTATAATTATGTCATAATACCCTTGAAAATTTTTGAAGGTAATTAATAATTACTTCTGAAATTAATGATCATTGCGACTGCAATAATCGTATTGTGTCAGACGGTAGTTAATCCTGAAAATAAATGTTTTCCATGCAACTTTTGAAACCTTGGCACAGCGTTCATTTAGCGTCAAGATAAAGACAGTGCTGCCATGTTTTGAGACTACTAAAAAGTATTGCCGCTTTCAGGTTGTGGTTCGTCAAATTTTCTCAGATATTTAAAATTGTCTACCTTTCCAATCACGCTACATTTTCACCATTTATTGTCATTTTCATAGAATTAATCAATGATCCCAACTCTGCATTCATTGCCGCGCATGGTTGATCATTCACCGTTTAACGTAGTCGACGGTTTTGTTGTAAAACCTGTCAACTACTGTGAAAAATTATCCATAGTACATGGGATCTCTCTGGATCCATTGCAATAATGGTTGAAAATAATACAAGTAACCTCATAGCGTTGATTCGTTAGTTGGTTGTTTTGAAGGAACAAGCGTACCAGCCTTCGAAACGCAATCATTCTGTGCTGTGGGCATTGCTGAGGTCAGTTTGCTAGGCTATCTTCCCATTAAGTAAAATGGCGCAGAGATGGCTGGCGTCATCTCTTAAGTGTTTGCCTTTCTTTGAAACTTAATCGTTATAAGGTTTCTTGAACCAGGTCTTCGAATTGATTGATAAAACCTGTATGTAGACAAGAAATCTGTACTAGGTTTCAATTGTTACTTAGGTTTTTAACCAGCCTTACTGTTTTCTGTTTAATTATTGCTTGAATTTTAGGATACTTTCATAGCTGCAGTAATATACATAGCTGAAATGCACATGGAAGGTATACACGTTTCGTTAACCGGACATGTTTGTTGCATGTGGCTGAAATTGCTGCTCACTTAGCTTTGAATGAATTAAGGCTTAGCATATCTAGAATGAAATGCGAACATAGTTCTTAAATGTCCGTAAATTTGTTACATATTTGCATGCCGCAAAAGTCTGCGAATAACTCGATGTTTTGCTTGGATGAACGTAGCAGAATTAATTGTTTCAGAATGCCTTTTTCCTGGATGCTACCTGGTGCCTTCCTCTGATCAAAGTATACGAATTTGTTCCTTGTGCCAAACTTGGCATCAACGTTAGGTAATTATTATATGAAACTTTTTCAATGTTTTGCAATTCGATGTGTTTTATCTGCTTTAGGTCAAAAGATGGCTTTCTGGTAGTCACATACGTCGAACCAGATTCAGTGGCAGATGAAGACGTAAGTTGAAGCAACGCATTGATGTAGGTTACGGCGATCTGCGCATCATACTCGTTGTTGCAAACTACTTAACGCATCAAACATAAGACCCATTCTATGCCTTGGTTTAAAGTGAATTGGACGTTTAGTGCTTGAATTGAACACCTTAATCGAAACATCTCACTTCCCAGTTTACGTTAGAAAGCAAGTAAATTTTAGAACAGCTGCTGCGGTTATTCTACAGTTACAGCCAACAAAACAACCTCTCATTATTTAAAATGATGCTTAAACTATTTGAGAACATTCCGTAATCAAACCTCAATCGACGTTTGAACTGAGGAGCATCTTAATTTGCTCATCAGCTAATAACTCACTACTGCGACAGTGCGATGACCATTTAACATAAAAACAATGTTCGTAGATCGACTATGGCTTCGTTGAATGTTTGCCAGTTTGGCCATTTTCTGGCAGCATTCGTTTTTCATCGAAAGGTGCGATATTTTTCTATGTCGACCCTTTCAAGTGTTTTTTGTGCTGCGTCTTCGTAACATTGTCGTCACACTGCTTTCGACTGCCGATTCATCAGACCTTCCGTCTGTTTAGCAACAGACTCAAGTAAATGAAGGCTCTTATATGATCTGCATGCTGTCGAACCATCTGTGACTTGAGCTTATCTTGCTTCTGCAGAGTAACTGGACCATGTGTTTTGCTTTTATCAACATGAATAATAAAGTTTCACTAACTACATGCGTTGTTTGTGCATAATTAACCATCTAATCCTTTTTGACATAATGTTTATTTACTCTGTGCATTTCTGTCGTTTCAATTCGGTATCACTGTTTTTAACTTTAATTATTATAATTTGCTGATTTATAACTTTGCAGTTACTGTTATGTCAGCGGTCAGAACGTTCACCTTGAACATCTTTTTAGAAATTGATGTAATCACCCATTACAGAAATTTTCACTGACAAGCAGCATTATTTTACTAATTTTTAGTTTTTTTAATCCAAACTGATCACTATCTGCAATGTCTCCGTGATCCCATAAC